GTATATGGCAGAACAGCTTTTCTGGTAATAATAAATCTACGTGAATGAGTTAGGTAACCAAAGCAGCCTTGCTGTTACTGATGATGATAAGATTATAGTGATGAACCGAGGAAGCAAAACATTTTTGCAGATAATACTCTAGGTGATAATAATTAGTTTATATTAGCTATCCAATCGACCAAAATATAAAATGATTAACTCATATAGGTCAACTTTGAAAGTAAAGTAGCATCCAGTGTAAGTACTACACTCTTCATTCACTTATAAATCCTTAGTATAAAAATCTCTACACTGTAGCAAAACTATGGAATAAAAGCGCTATAGTGATTTCACAGTAAGATCACAAAAACCCTCTCTTGAATGCAATGAGATGACCGAAGTTTTTTTAAAGTAATTTATCTCCAACAATCTAATTTCTTTATATATATATATATACAAACACATACATACACACCACAGTGAAAATAATTACAAAAAATATTACGAAATGCAAACTTTATGGGATTGTATGAAACTGCATTGCACAAAAGTACAGTCACATGTTGATAGTTTACACTATGACTGACTCTCATCCATCAACATACTAGCATAATACCATCAGTAGTATGGTGAAGTTCATCCTTGGCTCCCAGAACAAAAATGACAAACGACAAAAATGTAAAAATTAAAATTTTAGCTGATGAAAGCTACTCTTTGCACCAGATTGAGGCTAAATTTGATGTTTCAATAGGAGGTATATGTAAACTCTGAAGAGGGTATATGAAACTGGTATTGTTGATAATAGAAGTAGTCAAAGTAGAAAATCCAAACTCTTCAAAAATGATGTCAAGTAACTTACGCTCTTTGCGTAACACGTCATAATCCGGCAGAGATCTTGCAAATTATATAAATATAAGCAAGAGTGTGAATGTTATCTCTTGAAGAGTAAGATAAACCTTAGCACAATGTAGAATGTGTAGGTGCTCAAAATTCTCTGCTCAGGAGAGATGACCGAACAAAAGGCTGAACAAATAAGCATCAGACTACAAATAATGGGATGAGCAGAGCTCGAAAAGGGGGTACTCTTTATAGATAAGTCGAAATAAAAATAGTATTGTTCTACAGAGAAGAATGCTTGGGGGAATTGTATAGCATTAGCTGAATCTCAGCCAATAATATTAGAAATCTACACAAAATGAATGGCATCCTTACTTCTGATAGGTACGACAAGATTCTTAACCATCATGTCATGCCCCCAGGAGGAAAACCTGTTGGACAGAGGGAGAGATTAATCTCCCAGCAAACCAGTGATCCAAAGTATGTAGCATTTGTAGTGAAACCATACCTGGAAAGAAAAAGACAGTGATGGAACTTGTGCAACGTGACTGCACAAGATCCCGATATGAATTATTAAGGCTGCATTGACTTATATAGAGACTGAAAGGCCCAAACATCAAACAAACTGCTTTCCTGAATTTTAGGAGAAACACAGAACACTTGGGACAAAATTTCATAATCATACATTCATAAATTTATGGTAGCATAAGAACATGGTTTACTGCTCAGCTTAAAACAAATGGAAAATCATAGTGTACAACTATTTGATTCCTTTCATACTTTTTGTAATGATATATTCATAATAAGTTGACTTTTAGTTGAAATTGCTCATTGCTTGTGACTTTTGTATATGTATCATCCGTGCTTTATCATAATCATTCCCAATACTACATAAATATATCTCTTTTCTATTCGAGTTTTTAATAACGTATTAGTTTTATTGTTCGTTGTAAGTATTATTGCCGCTGTGAATAGCATTGATTTGTATTCTTTTGTATGTAATCTGGACCATAGTTTGTTTACTTGTATTTATATGTGAGATAAAGGGTTTATATGTATATTGCTATGTCATTTGAAGGGTTTATAATATTTCCTATTTCCTGTGATGGTTGTATTTCAACTTATCATTTGCGTTTAATATACTTGTCTACTCCGAGATCTTGGTTTACATTGGTGATATTTTGTTTCATTTTATTTGTCTTTAGCTATTTGCCACGTTGTCAGTAGGCGAGTGTTATTTTATTACACGTTTCTGTATATTGTATGTTACCTTCAATTCTGTATTTGGTTTTGTTCCGTCTTTTACGAAAATGTTCGTTATATATACCTAATAGTTTTCTTTAGGATTTTTTTAAAAATTAATATAAAATGATATTTTGTGCGTTTCTGTATTGTATGAAAAACTGCGGAACATTGGTTATATGTAGCAGTTGTTGAAAGTAAAATTATAGTTATCATTGTAAATAGTGTTAGCTCCTTGTGCCTTCTTACTTCCTCTTATATATACATTATCTGTTACAATGTTACATTGTACGTAGAGGACTCATTTGATCTTTTAAAATGCTACTATAAGGTCCGTTTTATATTTAGTTTGGTTGTTTGTTCTGCTGTGTGTTTACTACTGAGTTAGCTATGTTGGATAGGATATTTATGAAGTGTCTAACGTCTTGTATATATGTCCATATACTGTTTTATGTAGTACTGTGTGTCTCAGTGTTCCAGAATCTTGTCCTTGGTACTCTTTTTGTTTTTTGAGAAAACTATGATCAAAATTTAGTGAGAAAACTTATCATGCAAACACAACATTTACAAGGGATATTTGTGGTGTTTAATAGCTATAGTGTATGTTTATTCTTCAAAACGACACCTTATGCACACAGTAATAACTGACTGTCACTCTTATGACGTATTCAAAACTGTTTTTGTTATGTTTAAACAACTGAAGAACTTATCAGACACCAAGTAAGCATCTTGTTATTTTACTTTACTGCACAGTTAATGATGTTAGAGTTTGAGAAAGAAAATATCTATCTTTCGAAAGGCTATTACATCTGCAGAGCATAAAGCTTTTATATATCCTACGTGATAATAGTAGAGTATCTATAGTTCTAAAGCTTTTATATAACCTACGTGATAATAGTACAGTATCTATAGTTCTAAAGCTTTTATAGATCCCGCATGGTAATAGTATGGTGTCTATAGTTCTAAAATGGATAGAATGTTTCGTCGCAAACACGGAAAGTTACTTACCTCGATTGGAGTTAAGCCAGTTGAAGAAACGATGTTGTTGCACGATTCTCTCTCTCGTCTCGAAACGCTACTACTAGACCACGTCGATACGAGAATTTTTTGTCTGCCTTTTGGTCGGTGCCTACCTCAGCAGTTTAGTTTCAGAAACTTGATTGGGCGAACTTTCATGTCGTCACGAGTGAGAAGTCTGACAGAATGTTCAAAAAGTAGACCATAAGGTTTTTCTTTTCCCCCACATTAATATTAAAGTAGTATGATGAGACTTCAACTAATTGGATAGATAACATTTTAAAATAAGACTTGAAGCTTCTTCTCAGGATGATTTACGAATAAAGAAAAAGAAATAAAGCACTGTTGGAGCAAAATAATGAAGTTTATTCTGTTTTTATGTAGAATTTGTTTCTCTTTATAACTATTTAAGAAAACTAATATGTGATAATTTCATTTCTCAATACATTACAGTTCAATCATACAGTAAATATTTCGTATAACTTACAAAAAGTTAGATGGGTAGATGACAATACACGTGGTCTGTTACGACACACCAGCTGTAGCTAGAAGTGTGTAGTTATAGAACAGTACATAATATGCTCTCCATCCCCATCTGTGATATTAAAAGGTCTTATTTACAAGAAACATGAACACAAAGCTCACATTTGAATATTACGTAACGTTAGTCCGAAATGTTCAATTTTATTTCCACCCAATCCAAACTTTCGTAAATCATATAAAGCTATTTTAAATTTACCTCTCAAATAATTATTTAATTGTTATTTTTTCCCCTTTATCATACTAACCTTAGTATATCATGTAAAACAGTTCTGGCTCTATTTTATTCAGAACTGGCGTGAGGCTCGTACCTCCAGTGCACTCGTACAGAACCTCGTGCACTAAAAAAACAAAATCAAAATGTGACTATTGATAAATTGTATTTATAATATGAACTGGAAAGGTAATCAGATAGTACAACCCCCGCCCACCAATATTTATTTTTACTTTTGCACTAACCAGCCTTAAATATACACCAAACAATTCCTTGCTCTCAAAAATATAGGTCTGGATGCCAAGATTCTCTTTCTGTCTCAATTTATTGTCGAATTTTGACAGTTTTTCCAAAATCCCATTTTGCTTCAACTACAAAGAAAGTTATTACACTTCATTGACCTTTGAGCTACATTCATTAAAAGTTAATCAGTTGGTCCTTTGGAAACAGACAAACTCTGTACAAGTTTTTAAATCAGATTTAAACTGAGCGGAAGTAAATATAAAATGAAACCAATTTCTTAGTTTATATAGAAAATTGGCAATAATAACTTCAGAATTAAATAGCTAACATTTTTACTATACCAGCTGTAGAGTCAGTAAAAACACAGCATGATACAGCCCCTTCCCTCTTTTTTGACGCAATAATGTTAAATTAGGATTTCGGGCAGAGTGAACCAGAGTTACCATCAGTTGATTGTATAATCGTATTTTCTGTATTATTGGGATCGCTTTCTTTTTAGAAAATTAATTTCCACTCGATGAGTCATGATCCTGAAGGAAAGGCATGATGAAATTGGAATCTACTGTACCTGTTAGCAGTCAGAGTGCCATCAGTTTTGTGTAGACTACAGATACCTTTAGCCGAGAAGTAACCCCAAACTTCTACTGAGCCTTGTTCCCGCTTCACTGTAGATGTTGTACATTAACTATGATACTGTTCTTCTCCCTGTCGTCAAATTATCATTAATTATTGTTGCCAAACAGTTCTACAAAGAGCACACGTTCACATCTATGCTCATTCCACTGTATACGAGCCGATATCTATTTCACCCTTTAGGTTTGGCTTCCTTTCTTAGTAGTGGTTCTCGAGCAGCTACATGCCAATTTGAATTTAAATCACTTCGTGGTAATGTGTACCTTTTTGTTTCCGAAGTAACATTCATATCTGTATTTACAGTTATGGTATTGGCAAGATCTGTACTCCACCATCATCTACCTCGTAAAAATAAATAAATAAACACCTTGAAAATTTTAGCATCACTTTTGAAGAGTTTCGGTTTTCTACGTTGATCACGTCTATTACTAAACTGTGTCACTTTCACGTACACTTCTCAGAATCTTATATACAACTCCTAGAGAAACACGGAATATCCTTGATAAGCCAAACATTAATTTTCTTCATGATTGGCAAGCGGAATTTCAGTACTGGAAGCCATGATTGAAATTAACACTTATATTTTGGTCATGGTATTACTGCTTATACTTTTAAATACTTTATACTGTTGATATTGGTGGACATTTTCTGATTGATTGGATGACAACCAATCACAGTGTAAAACTTTTAATACATGAATGTACTCTGGTAAAATTCATTTTTACTCGAATCAGGGGCGGCATTCCATAAGTACTTACGTTTGTCATTCGTTATCCTCGCCATTTGTATAGTTATTTTCAGCACTGCATATTTCTTGAAAAAAATGTAATAATATAATTAGAACAACAATTTAGACGGGGACGTGTTCAGAAAATTAACCATTGGTGCTAAAAAAAAGAAGAGAAAACAGGTTAATCCATTTCTAATCAAAGGGAAGCCATGGAGAAATCCATAAAAAAATTCGCGATTCACAAAATGCAAACAAAATAATAATAATAAACGAGAAACAGAGGGACTTTCAAGTTAAAAATGTAAATACATACTAGTGGATTGATTATCTGGGTTCTTGGCCGGAAATTTTTGATAAAATAATATGTGGTT